CCGGCTGACTTGGGGACGTCGACACCGCCATCCGTTGCTAGTATCCACGGTCCCCAGCGATGATGTTGCGCCTTGTCGCGGTGTTGAGGCTTTGGTTGCGTATATGAACTCCGCAGCAGGGCGTTGCTGCGAGCACGACGGAGACCAAGGTGACTTCATCCCTCGAGAAGGTTCCACGCCATGCCCGGTGTGGGGAGGTGAGGCGGTCTGCCTGCAGACTGTCGGACAGAACTGCACGACCGTTTCGCAGCGGTCACTCCGTTGATATCACCCGTGGCGGTGACGTCCACAAGAACCATGGCCCGAGGTGGATGGCTACATCAATATTTGGCAGCTTAACATTGCAGGCCTCTCGTCCGTGAAAAATATTGCATTTGCGGCGCGATTGGAGCAGCGTCCACCTGACATCGTTCTTCTGCAGGAAATAAGTAACCGTGGCGACGTTGCGACGAAATTATCTGGCCATAATGACTACCTTCAGGCCCGCACTGGGCGCGGTGGTGGTGTTGCCGTTCTGGTGCGCCACTCTCCACCGTGCGAGCGCCTGTCGCTCCCTGGCACTGACCTCCTGGAGACCATTGCTGCCCTTGTTTTTCCGCCAGGCTGTCCCAGCATTTGCGTGGCGAATCTCTACAACCCTCCCACAACAATTGGTCAATAATCCGCATTTATCAATATCGTTTGTCGCTTGGGCCCGAAGAGATTATCGCGGGTGACCTGAATTTACATCGTGAACTCTGGTACAGTCATATATAACATCAACGACTGGAGGCGATAATTTCGCCGCTGTTCTAATCGATATGGATTTTGGGCTGGCAAATGACCCGACACAGGCAACATGGATCACACATCGTAATGCTTCGTCCCCTGACGTGACTGCGTATTGCGCCGTACGCATTTCCCACTGAACATTCGCCCTTTACATAAACTCGGACCACTGCTGAATATCTTACTTGGTAGAGATGGATGATGGCACTCCACGACTAGCAAACACGCTGCCTTGACGGAAGAAAGCCACCTTTGCCCTGCGTAAAGCGGGTTGGCCTGCTTTTACATCGTTGTGTGAAACCCTCCTTGCCACCGCGTCCACATGGTTGGATCCTCGCGGAGGCATCTTACGAGCAGCTGAGCGCCATATCCCGCGCGGCAGCCGTGACAGCTCCAAAAAAGACATGGACACACGAAATGGAACAGGCCGAGTCCGCCGCCGAAGCAGCACACGAAACACACACATTGCCTCACCTGGAGACAGCCTACTTTGAGCTGCATGTACCCGAAAAAAGGAGGAACGAAATCAAGCCTTACGCCGTTGCTCCGCTGTGCTTCTGGAAGCCCGCGCGAAAGGACTTGGAGCCTCACCCAGCCCGAGCTGGCGATATCTTCACGGCATGGCGGCGCCGCACCCTCATCCTCTGGAATCGGTTGTGCTCCGCACTGATCTTGGCCGCGTATGCGCCCTGCCTCGGCAGCAGGCAAATCTGCTTGTCCGTCATTTTGTGCGGTTTCACGTGCCATACCGCCTTATGCTGCTGCTGCTGCACTCCTTTGGTTCCTGGTGGCTGGGAAATGGATCGGCCTTTCCCGCCGTATGAAATTGACGTGACCATCCGTGACTCTTTGCTTGGCTCAGCCCCTGGCCCCGACGACATGTTGAATGAATTCCTGCATCGTCTCGTGCCCGTTGCGCGTGGCACACTTAGAACGATGATCCACAACCCCTTCGCAAATGGCAGCCTGCCTGGCTCCTGGAAAATGGGAGACGCTATTCCTATCCCCAAGCCTGGGAAGGATCCATGCCGCCCAGAGAGTTACAGACCTATCACGCCACTCTCTGTTTTACCAAAGTTAACCGAAGGAGTGATTCACCGCCGTCTGTCAGCGTTATTGCCGCACCACCCACGTCAATTTTGGATTTGCACCTTCGCGTTCTACGTCGGACGTGGTGGCACTTGTTATCGATAAATTACTCGTGGATAGAATGAGTTTGGCATTGTGGAGTATGAGCGCCCTGGAGACGACGCCCCCACACGACACGCTCGTCGCCATCGCTCGCTCGTAGTCTTGATTGATTTTTCGATTGCGTTCGACACCACTGACCATGGGAAGTTATTCTGCATGCTTGACAGACTTCCGCGCCTTTGCCCTCGAACCAAACGCTGGCTGCACAACTACCTGCGGGGCCGCTATGTTAGGGTATGCACTCGCGGACAGCACTCCCGGAAACAACTCGCCTCAGCTGGAGTACCGCAAGGCGGCGTCCCGGGACCCCAACTCTTCCTCCACTGTGTGGATAATCTGCTGCGCCGCCTGGGCAGCATCTATTCTGCCGCCGCTTTCATGTACGCTGACGAACACACACACTTGTTGCTTCAGATGCGGACATCCATGCCTGTGCTGCGGCAATGCGACCGCTCTTGTCTCTTGTGGCCACATGGGCTGCCGAGCACGGCCTAAAAATCAACGTCGCTAGGAGCGAAGCTGCTCTATTCTACATCTCTTCACACACACACGGTCTGACGAGGACATGGTCGATCTCCATCTTGTTAGCGGGAACCTACGTATTCAGTCACGCCCAGTGCGCTTACTGGGCAACACGTTCGATCGACTTCTCAATTTTGTTACGCATGCTTCCACCGCTTCAAAGAGGGCCATGCCACGCCGCTATCAGCCGCGACTGGTCGCAGAGGCGGGCACGTCCCATCACACCATGCGATCCTTTTTGATTGGATACGTTCATGGTGTGCTATTTCATAATGGCGAGGCAATTCTCCCGTGACTCGTCCCCACTCACCTCCATAATATGGAAGTACGGTACCGCGACGGTAGCAAAACATTCTTTGCCTGAGCGCATCTACGGAAGACACATCTGTCTATTTGGAAGCCAATATTCTTCCGCTCCGGAAGGTACTTTGGCGTCGTGCACTCACACAATACGAACGCTATATACGCTTCCATGATCACGAGGATTTGCGTTCCCTTATCTACTCGGAACCTATGCCGCCGTCCATGCATGGGAAAGCGGCGACATCAATCCGCTTCCGAGAGATGCTGTTATTAATGGATTGCTACGCGTCCGTGACATTATTGGGACACCCCACAACCACATTTGCGCGCCTCTTGCCCAACATCGAATTTTTCCCTGAGACACTGTGATCTGCAACAAAGTGAGATTTTATCAGCCACTCTTTGCCAAAGACGCCTCTGACGATGTCAGGCGCACGGCTTTTGATTCTACTCACTCCTCTTTGGGGGATTGTGATTTTGAATTGTGGACGGACGGCCCTTCATATCTCGCTGCACTCGCATCTGGATCCGCTGCGCTATTATATGACTCCACCACGACAAATGATCTCCCTGTGGAGGTACATCGTGCAGCAGCTGGCAGCCTCGCATGCTCATATAGGGCAGACTGCCTTGCGATCGAAAATGTTTTTAGACATCTCATACCTCCTTGTCTGGGAACATCCCAATCGCCCACACGAATGCTGGAGGAAACGGACTCCCTGTCGGCAATTGAGGCACCCCGCGTTGCCCACCGACCGTGCGAGACCGCGTTACTGAGTAAATTTGGATTATGCTGCTTTTCTTGGTGGAGCGAGGTCACCCTGTGGATTTTATATTTTCCCATCACACTGCGGTATTCCACGCAATGAGGCCGCTGAGGACGAAGTCACGATTGCACGATCCCTCTCGCAGGACTGCGTCAGTGCCTGGCACGTAGAGTTCCCTACCGCCGTCAAGAGGTTATAATGGAAGGATGTGCAGGAGGAAAAGGAAGCCGCGCACACCGCTTGACAGGCGGCTGTCGGTGTGGCGAGGACTTTGTTCCTGGTGTTGACCCGGACATCGGTCCCCGAGTGGCGGCACTGCGCACAGGCGCGATGCGACTCCTGCCCGCTCTTTGACAGGCCTGCACACGCCCTGCGGATCACAAGGAACCCTCTGTGTCGGTGGTGCCGTCCCTCCCTGACTGCGGTGACCGGCCCGCCTCTGCCTCCGCCGGAACCTCTTCCCGACGTAAGCACCGCAACTCCTTGCCTGCCAGCGAGCGGCGGATTGACGTCCTCCTGCCCAACCTGCGGCAGAGCGCGCTTGTCCGTCCACAGTATGAGGGCACATGCCCGACGTGCTCAGTCTGGCGTTATATTGGTTGGAGAGGGCCTCCCATGCGGATGCCACAATGGCGCCACCGTCTTCCTAACAGGTGCCTTGCGCACAGGTCGCCACCGAAGTTGCCAAGCATGCCAGCAGGCAAGACACGCAGGAAGCACAAACGCGGGAGCTCGAGATGGACCAGGCTCTTCCGCCACCGCCTCATCACAGACGCCACGGGCCGCTGATCCCCCGACGGACCACGGGAGACTCTGCCTCATCCACTGCGGGAATGCCCTCGTCGTTGGGAACTGGGACTGCGACTGTGTGGGACTGCCCCAGCCCGCACGACGGCCCGTTTGCGACGGAATACTTGCCACTTCTGTACGGACGGCCCTTGCGCTACTCACTCGTTATTGTAGCAGCATACAACCAAAACAAGATAATAAGCTGTTTTTGTGGTGGATATTGGCTGCACTTCCCGTGGACCAACAATCCACGTGGTGTGCGGGGATCTCCTTTTTTATTGTTACTATGCTTTTGTGTTGCTGTGTGCGCTGCACCTTCTTGTGTGTGTGTGCGCACCCTCCGTGAGGGGTGCCGACACGACGGACCGCTCTCGCCGCATGTACATGCGGTGGAGCCTTGTGTGTCGCTCCTGTTTGCTTCTCCCTCTTCCATCTGTGTGTTGGTGTTGCGGCAGGGCTGTGTGTGTGTGTGTGCCTGCTGCCGTGGATTGGAGTGTGTGTCGTGCGTGGTGTGCGGCGTACGGTGCATGGCTGGCTGCTGCCCTCTCCTCATGTGGTGTGCCCTCTGTGTGTGTCTGCCGCACCTCTCGTCTCCCCTGTTGCTTTCCATGTCCCTCACTGTGCAGATCAGCTCCACACCACTGAACGACCACACTCACGATGATGATGACGTGCCGTCTGCTCTGCGCCCTGTTGGTGCTTGCCCTGTGCTGCAGACCGTCCGTGTGCGTTTCAGAAATTCAGCCTGCCGCTTCTTCACAGACGAATAAAGCACCGGTACCAAATAAGCCTGAATCTCCTGAATCCGTCACCGGTGAATCGACTCCTGCAACAGAGGGAGCACCACGGGGTACCGGTCAGCCAGGGTCAGCAAGTAATGGGGCCGCTGCGGAACACGGAAATACTGCCGGAGATGCGGGAAGTTCGCCCGGTCCGCATCCGCAATCAAGTGGTGCGCATAATACGGTACAAAGAGAAGGTACGGAAGACACGTCAGGGACAAAAAGTGGCACGAGTACATCCACAGAACATGCAAATAAGAATGTCGACGATCCTGCCGAGACGACGACGACCACCACCACAAAGGCACCAACCACGACGACCACGACCACCACTGCGCCAGAGGCACCAAGTACTACGACTAAAGAGGCGCCAACTACGACGACCACCCGTGCACCGTCAAGTCTTCGCGAAATCGACGGCAGCCTCAGCGGCTCTGCGTGGGTGTGTGCCCCGCTGCTGCTCGCCGCATCCGCGCTGGCGTACACCGCTCTGGGCTGAAGAGGTGTGTGCGGGTTGTGCGTGCCAGCACTCAACCGCGGGGATTTGTGCGCGTGTGTGGTTGTTCACTGTATAAAATAAGAGGAAATAATGATTGTGTTTTGCTTCACTTGCTTCTGCTGCCGTGCTGTGTGCTCCGCGTTGTGCCCTGTATCCGTCACGTTGAACGCATCGCGGACACACTCATGTGCATGCGCACTGGAGCCCTGGGTTTGTTTTTCTTTTCTTTAATTATTGTTTTTTAATTATTGTTTTTTTATTGCTTTTTAAACTTCTGGTTTGCGGGGCGGTGTGCGAGCTCTGCAATCGTACTGATTCCATCTGTCTCGTGGTGTGTGCGCTGCTGCTGCTGGGATGCTGCCATTTGTTGCTATGCGGTGGTTGTGCGTGGTGTAGCGGCTGTGTCTATCTTTTTGCTTCCCTCTCTGTTGACGGAGAGTTACTTTTGCTGAAGGCTGCACGCAAGTGACAGGAGTGGTGGCGATGATGACTGGCCGTGTGCTGCTGGTGCAGTGTTGTGGTGCCAGCGGCTTATGGCCTTGTCAGTGACAGAAGTGTTGTGGATGAGGATATGGTATTAACTTGGCATCCTGAGGCTGAGAAGGATTGCGAGAAAAAAAATACGAAGGAAGGAAAGTTGGATGTGTTGGGGTTTAATAGCTGTATGCATGAATCGATGAAGGAGATTTGTGGCAATGGCGATGATGAGACGCCGAGTAAATCTCGTGGCTCTAGAGCTGAGGAGATTTGCAAGAAGTACACTGGCGATCCAAACAAGGCCGTCGATTCCTCAACACAGCTACCCGAAGCGTCGCCTGATGCGGAAAAACAGGTGGCAGCAGCAACTCCAGAAACACCGAAGGGCGGTGCAGCAGAAATGGGATCAACACCAGGAGCACCAGCGGGTGATTCACCAGCAAATCCAACAGAAGGGCCGGAATCAACCTCAGCTGCCACCGATACTTCAAATAACGAGGCTCAAAAAGGTGGTGAAGTGGCGATGCCGAAGAATGCACCGGGATCCGATGCCACAGGGAAAGGAGAGGGAGAAGAAGGTGAAGTGAAGCACAGTAATACGAAAGAAACACCAGCCAAAGCCGAGAAAATGAAAAACGTCACGACAACTGGAGACAGTGACAGCAGCACCGCGGTCTCCCACACCACTTCCCCTCTTTTGCTTCTTCTTCTTGTTGCGTGTGCGGCTGCTGCTGCGGTGGTGGCCGCGTGAGAGTGAGGGAGAGAGAGCCGTGCACCGCCCGCACACACACTCGTCTTTCACTCACTCTCTGTGTGTGTCCCCTTGCATGGACTCTCGCCCTCACCTCACCCCACGAGGCACACACATAATGTGCCCATTGTATATATTGCATGCACACCCATGCAGGCCCGTTGGTGCCCTCTTTTGCACCACACGCACCGCTGCTGTCCTGCCTGGCTGCATGGGCGGAGCACCGTAACTGTTTTTTTTTTGTTTCCTTTGCATTGAGTGGTCGACCTCTTTCTCTCCCTGTGTGTGTGTTTGCTTTACGGGAGCAATGAGAGTGTGTGCGCTGGTCGTCCCACGCTGCGGCTTTTTGTTTTGTTTTTCATCGTTTTGTGGTTGAGTGCATCCATTCCGCGGGCTGCATTTGTGTGTGATGATATGAGTAATTTGCGTATGTGCCATCCGCTTCTCTCTGCCGTTGCTTTCTTTGGACTCTCTTGTGCCGCACAGCTGCTCTGCAATTATAGGCGCTGAAACACACACACACACACACACGCCTTGTGGCGCACAGCTGCTCTGCAAGTATAGGCGCTGAAACACACACACACACACACACGATTCTGGCTGCTGCGGCCCTTGAGATGGGGGATGAAGGGAGCCTGCAACGCTTCTCTTTGTCGTGCTGCGGGCGTGGGATGTTGGCGGCGTGCAACAGTTTACTAATGTGGTTTTTTATTGACGGTGCCTCGGATAGGTGCGGAGCGATTCCCGCCCAGCAGCTGCAGGTGCCTCTCCCGCTGTGTATTTGATGGCGGGGGATTCCCCGGCTGTGTGGAGTGATTTGCGCCGGCGGCGGTAGCGCGTGGGTGCTGCGGAGGGCGGCTGTGGCCTTTTGCCTCCCGCTGGTTATTTTATGTGTGGGCGTCGCCTGGTGTATGCTGCCGCGTGGCAGAAGCGCCCGCCGTGGCTCCTGCTGCTGCTGGTGACCGTCGCTGTGTGTTCCCGGTGCAGTCATCTTCCTTCTGCTGTTCCGTGTGTCTGTGTGCGTGAGTTGTTGTTGTTGGGAGTGACTGCGGCGGGGATGGTGATGCCACTCACAGTGTGGATGGGTGGCGGTGCTCGCTGTCTCACCTCTTTGCTTGGCTTTTTTTCTCTTCTCTCTCCGCCTCACGCACACACACGCTAGGAAGGAAGTTACGACTAAACGCGAATCGCCACCGTGAAATTCGAGGGCACTGAAAGGACCAACAACAGCACACACACCGCCCAAACACACATATTTATATGCTCTCACGTGTTGCTGCAGTGAAGGCACCCCGCACACACAACCGTTGCCGCATGACCGGATCCAGCGGAAGGAGGAGGGAAGGAAGAGAGAGTGAGCGGCAGAGGCCCAACATGTCGCGGCGTGTGTTTACTTCCGCGGTGCCGCTCCTCCTCGTCGTGATGATTTGCTGCAGTACTTGTGGAGCTGCGCAAGCTGATGAGCCGTCATCTGATCCAAAGTTTCAATGGAAGGGCATCAGTGAGGGTAAAGGTGATGTAACTGTGGAGTCGTTTGGAATTCCCGGCCTTTTGAAAGTGGGGAGTGATGTATTTGCCGTTGCTGAGGCGCAATGCAAGAAGGATGGAGAAGATACCTTTACTGGTATTGCATCCCAACTTCTCACGATAAAAGACGATAACACACCGGAGGAAGCGCTTAAGAAAGCCAGAGTGATACAAGTTCTGGAGGAAGGCGCTTCCCCAAGCAAGAAAGTAGATGTGAGCCGACCGACAGCAATTGTGGATGGAAGTAATATTTACATGCTTGTTGGGAAATACAGCCGTAAGGGTGGTCAGGAGAGTGGTGCAGCTCAATCGGGACTTTTGCTGGCGAAAAGGGAAGTAAATAATGAAGGAGATGACAGCGAAAAAAAAATCCAATGGAATGTGAACCAGCTACCGGTCGGCACTTTATCTGAGGGCGAACAACCTTCATCCTTGACACGGCTGATCGGAAGCGGTGGATCGGGTGTCAAGTTGAAGGACGGTACGCTTGTTTTTCCAGTGGAAGGCACGAAGAAGGATGACACAGGAAAGGATAAAAAGACCGTTTCGCTGCTCATATACACCTCCGATAACGCTGCGAGTTGGACGCTGTCGAAGGGGATGTCTGACGGTGGCTGCAGTGATCCCTCCGTGGTGGAGCGGGAGAAGGACAAGCTCATGATGATGACAGCATGTGATGATGGCCGCCGCAGGGTGTACGAGTCCGGCGACAAGGGGGAGTCGTGGACGGAGGCACTCGGGACACTCTCGCACGTGTGGAGCAACAAACGGGGCGGAGAAGGGAAGGCCGTTGGGAGCGGGTTCACCACAGCGACTTTTGGCACTGGAGATGATGGGAAAAATGTGATGCTCGTCACTCTGCCGGTGTATGCCAAAGAAACACAAAATGAAAAAGAAAAGGGCGAACTCCATCTTTGGCTGACGGACAATACGCACATTGTTGATATTGGGCCGGTATCTAGGGAGGATGACGAAGATGCTGCCGCCAGCGCCCTGTTGTACAAAAGTGCTGGAAGTGGAACTGATAGTAATAATAAGGAGGAGTTGATTGCACTGTACGAAAAGAAGGACGGTGGGGCGAAACCATCAAACAGTCTTTGGTCTGTGCGTCTGACTACGCAGCTGGAGCGGGTGAAGGAGGTTCTGAAGACCTGGAAGGAAGTGGACAAACATGTCTCCCAGCTGTGCCCTTCTGAGAGCGCTGTGCAGGCTACCTCACCTGACAGTGCCTGCAAAAACACTAAGATCACGGATGGGCTGGTTGGCTTTTTGTCCGGCAACTTCTCTGATGACACATGGAGGGACGAGTACCTCGGAGTGAACGCCACAGTAAAGAAGGGAGCGGAAGAAGAAGTGCCAGCAGCGGTAGCAGAGAAAGCAGAGTCTTCTGATGGAGTGACGTTCCGGGGAGCGTGGGCGGAGTGGCCCGTTGGCGAGCAGGGGGAGAATCAGCTGTACCACTTTGCGAACTACAACTTCAGTCTTGTGGCGACGGTGTCCATCGACGGTGAGCCGACGAAGGAGGGTCCTATTTCTTTGATGGGTGTGAAGATGAGTGATGACGATAAGAATCCAGTACTTCTTGGACTGTCGTACAGCAACGACGAAAAAAAGTGGCGGATGCTGTGCGGTGGGAAACCGACGGAGATGCAAAACCGCATTGAGGGGCAAGAGAAAACACACCAAGTGGCCATTGTGCTGCAGAACGGCACCCAGGGCTCCGCGTACGTTGATGGTCAGCGTGTGGGTGAGCCATGTAAATTGGAAACTACGAATTCTAAAGGGATTTCCCACTTCTACATTGGAGGGGATGGAGGCAGCGCAGGGAGCCGAGAAGACGTGTCTGTGACTGTGACGAACGTTCTGCTGTACAACCGCCCGTTGGATGACAATGAGATTACTGCTCTTAATGCAATTAAAGCCCCGATTACGCCTCCGAAGGAAACAAGTGCGCAGGAAATTGTGTTGCCTTCTCCTGATGGAACACCGCAGGCGGGACAGGAACATTTGAATGGAGGTGAAGTTGCTGACGGTGGAAGTGCATCCCAAGCAGCTTCCATTGCTTCGACTTCCATACCTGTGGGGCAGACCGTACAGCAGTTGGCTTCTGAAACATCTTCCGATGGAAATGCAGATGTGGATGGCGCTTTCTCGTCTAGCGGTAACCCAACGGTGGGGGAGGGGAGTGTAGATACGATACAGGGGGATGGACCACACACACCTTCCGTGGGTGATACCGCCGCCGCCGCAGATACAAACGTTCTTACCGCTGAAACCGTGGGGCACGATGGACCCGCATTGACAACTGATGTGAGCGTGAGCTCTGGTGCGGATGGGGAGACGGCAGGAGGAACGGATGGGCAGGAGGAGGAGCAGATCCATCCACAGGACAGGGACGTAAATGCTACGGCCCTCAGCAGCAGTTTGGGAAATTTGTCGCAGGGGAATAACAGCGATGCCGGCACTGTGCGTGAGAGGAGGGTGCTGCCGCTGCTTCTTCTGCTGTTGGGACTGTGGGGGTTTGCGTCTCAGTGAGGGGTGACTGGCTGCCGCGTGGAACAATTGCGACCTCCCCTGCACAGAATTGCGTCCAAGAAACAATTTTTGCCTTTCAAATAATTTTCCACATTTTTTGCTTATTTTAAATTTATTTTTCTGTTTGCTACTTTCTTTTTGTTTTTTTTTTCTTTTTGTAATTTTAAGCATTTTTTTTTGCGTTTTTTTAATGTTTCAGTTTTTCTTTTAAAATTTTTTTTTTTTTTTTTATTTCTCACTCTCTTCACCCCTTTTCTTTTCTTTGCTTTTGGGGCAATCACTATGGACGTTTTTTTCTGCTCTTCCCTCTTTTAATTGTTTCTTCTGCGCTCTTCCTGTGAGGGGTGCCGTGTGTTTCCCGCCCAACTGCTCCACTCGCACACCCACCGACACGCTCATGACGACGGCCCTGTGCGCCTCGCCTGCTGCACGCATGAGGAGGGGCCGCGACGAACGGCGCGCTGAGGGAGCCGTGACGTGTGGGCGTGCGACGAGGGCCTGTGGGGCGGAGCACACATTTCTTTCCCTCTTGTTTTGTTTGTTTTTGCTGCCAGGGCTGGCAGACACCCGCAGCGCCACGCACACACAGCCACACCCTGCCGCCGTGTTTTTTATTCATTTTTGTTTTGTTTTTTTTGTGGATGTTTGTGTGCTGCCACCGTGCGTGATTGTTGAGTCCTGGACCGTACCGCGTGTATCGTTGCCATCCAGCTGTGCCTCTTGCTGTGTTGGTGCGTCTTTTTGAGCTTTTTTTATTTCCTGCTTCTTCAGAACACACACACGGACACACACACACAGTCATAATTATTTGCACAGTGCACTGCATGAATGCCTTGGCGACGGCGGTAAGTTGGCTTGCGTATCCCGTGCTGAGATGGCGAGGCCGCTGCGTGTGTGCCTGTGCGGTGGGAATCGCGGTGCCATTGGATGGATGCGTGTGGGACACTCTCTGCATTTCTCTGGATGCCGGCTGCCGCGGCTGCACGATGCCCGCCATGTGTGAAGGTGTTGGCTGCTCTTGGGGTCATTCTTCTCTCCCTTCTGTTTTTGCTTTGCCAAGTGCGGGCGTCGCTCGGTGCGTGCTGGCGGGTGACGGACGGTGCCACGATGGCCTCTTCTGACGGTGACAGTCGCTGTGTTCTCGGTACACACCCACGCACCCTTCCTTTTCTCTCTGTGGGAGTGATTGCGGCAAGGCATTGCTGCGAGCGTGATGGGGATCACGACGGCGTCACCTCTCGAGAGGGTCCCGCGCACTGTTGGTTGTGGAGGGGCGAGGCAGTTTGCCTGCAGCTCAACTGACAGAACCGCACAGTCGTTTCATTGCGGTCACTCCGTCGGCATCACCCGCTGTGGTGGTGTCCGCAGGAGCCGCAGCCCCGATGAGGATGGCCTCGTAGTTATCTGGCAGCTCATACCTTCAGGCCCTTTGCTTTTCAGGATTGTCCTTGCTGCTCGACTGGCGCAGCACCGGCCCGACATGTTTCTTCTCCCGGAGTGCAGGCAGGAGAGTGCCCCAGCGACGAGGCTCATTGGCTGCAGTGACTTCCACCAGGCCTGCAGTGTGCGTGCCGGTGGCGTGGCCCTCTTGGTGCGCCACACCTTGCCGTGCGAGCGCCTGTCGCTGCTGACACCAACTGCGTGGAGACCACCGCCCTCCGCGTGTGCCCACTTGCCTGCCCCAGCATTTACGCGGTGAACCTCTGCAACCTTCCATCGGCAATTGCCCACGCTGCTCACTTTGCGAGCACCATTAGTCGCTCTGGTTCTGCAGCGCCCATTGCGGGTGACCTGAATCTACACCATGAGCTGCGTGACGGTTGCTCGCCTTCAACGGCGTCAGGAGAGAACCTCGCCGCCACCCCAAGCGGCATGGACTCTGAGCTGTCAGACGACCCGACTCAGGCAGCGCGGATTGGCGGCCACAGCGTCTTGTTTCCGACGTGACTGCGCAACGCGTACTGCGTGTCTCCCACTGGACGTCCACTTGTTTGCATGGACTCGGATCACCATCTGTTATCCCACACTGCGGGGACGGAGGACGGCATCCCGCGACAGGCAGGCATGCTGCCACGACGGAAACATGCTGCCTTTGCCCTGCGTGCAGCTGACTGGAATGATTCCACCACGGTGTGTGCAACGCCTCTGGCCACTGTGACCACATGGTTGGAGATGCACCGAGGCACCGTGCGAGTGGCAGCCGTGACATTCCCACATGTATCTGGACGGACGGAATGTAGCAGGCCGAGTCCACTGCAGCGGCAGCATGCAACGCGCACACTGCCTCACCAGGAGGCAGCCTGCCCCGAGCTGAAGTTGTCCGCAAACGGGAGGACCGCAATCATGCCCTCCGCGGTGGTTTCTCCATGCTGCTGGAGGTCCGTGCAAAGCAGCTTGGTGCCCTCTCGAGCCCAGGCCTGTGATACCCCGAGGCATGGCGGCACCACGTCCCCGCTCTCTGGGATCGGCTGTGCTGCGGTACTCTTGGGACTGCGTCTGTGCTCTGCCTCGGCAGCAGGTAGAAACGCTCGTCCGTCGCACTGTCCGCGTCTCACGTGCTGCGATCCCCACAGCTGTCCGCACAGTTTGTGCTCGCGTGCCTCCTGGTGGCTGGAATATGGATTGGCCCTTCACGCCGTGTGCGTCTGACTCGGCCATCCGCGACTGTTTGCCTGGCATGGCCCCTGGCCCCGGCGGCGTATTGAGTGCATTTCTGCTCCATCTTGTACCCGCTGCCCGCTGCTCGCGCTGAACGATGATCAACACCTCCCTCGTCGACGGCAGCCTGCGAAGTTGCTGGGAAATGGGGACACCACTCCCATCTGCAGACACGGGAAGGACACACGCCGCACCGAGAAAGTTGTCGGCCACTCCCGCTGCTCTCTGTCCTGCCAGTGGTGAGCGAAGGACTGGTCCACTGCCGCCTGTCAGCACTGCCGCCACACCACCGGCGTCAGCCTGGATCCACGCCACGACGCATGGCCTCGGAGTTGGTGACGCCTGTGAGTGACGAAGCGGCACGAGGGCTGAGCGGGTGCATCGCCGTGGAGTGCGAGCGTCGCAGGGGCATCATCCTGCGCTGCACCGTCGCCGTTGCCGCTCTCTCGCCGTCCCGATCGGCATCTCGACTGCGTTCGACACCGTTGGCGATGGGCGAGTGTTGGCTGTGCTCTGCGGGCTCCCGCGCCTGGGCCGTCGCGCCCAACGCTGGTAGCGCAATCGCCTGCGAGGCGGCTGCGTTGGGGTGAGTGCTCGCGAGCAATATTCCCGACAGCAGCTTCCCTCAGCCGTGGCAGCCCAATGCAGCGTTGTGCGGCCGCAGCTCCTCCACCGCCACGTGGATGGACTGCTGCGCCGCCTGGACGGCATTCACTTTGCTTCGGCGTTCATTCACGCTGACGACCGCACGCTTGTTGCGTTGTGTGCGGACCTCCGTGCCTGTGGTGCGGCAATGCCAGCTGCCGTGTCCGTTGTGGCTGCATGTGCTGCCGGGCACAGCCTGAGTATCAACGCTGACAGGAGCGGTGCCGCTCTGTTCTGCATCGCCTCACACCGACAGTCTGACGAGGACACGGCCGACCATCGTCTGGGCGGTGGGAAGCCACGCGTCAATCCCACCCTGTGCGTCTGCTCGGCAATGCGATTGATCGACACCTCAATTTTGTTTCGCACGTCACCGCCGCTGCAGGGCAGACCGTGCCACGCCGCCGTCAGCCGCGGCTGGGCGCAGGAGCTGGTGCGTCCCAGCACACCATGCGATCCTTTCTGGTTGGATGCGTCCACGGTGCGTTGCACCACGGCGGTGAGGCACTCGCACCGTGTCCGACCCCACTCGCCTCCACAGCCTGGAAGTGCGGCACGGCGACAGCCGCACAGCATCGCTCGTCCCACGCGTATCAGCGAAGGATACCTCTGTCCACCTGGCCGCCAGTCCAGCACCGCTGCGGAGGATCGTTGGGTTCCGCGCACCCACACAGCACGAACGCCTCACACGTCTCCGTTATATTGAGGACGTGCGTGGCGCAGTATGCTCGGAAACCACACCTTCGTCAATACCTGGGAAGGCAGCGACGACCATTCTGCTGCCGGGAGATGCCGTCCTCAAGGAACTGCGACGCGTCCGCAGCCGCATGAGGATCTCCCCGGACCACATCCGCGCCCCTCTTGTTGATCACCGAGTTTTCGCCCGGGACACTGTGAGCCGCAGCGGGGTGGGCGTCTTCCAGCCACGGCACGCCAAGGACGCCCTGGACGGTGTCAGACGATCGGCCCTTGAAGCGGCCTGCGACCCTCTGGGACCGTATGACGCAGGTCGCTGGACGGACGGCTTGTTGTCTCTCGCTGAGCATGCATCTGTATCCGCGGCGCTGCCATTTGACTCCCCGGACAGCCGGGCTGCCTGTGGGGTCTCACCGCACAGCTGCTGGCAGCCCTGCATGCTCCTGCCGAGCGGAGTGTCCTGCCACTGAGCATGGCCTCGGACAGTTTTCAGTTCCCCGCCTGGCAGCAGCATCCCAATCGCCCACACGAGTTACTGTCGCCACAGACTCCCTCTCGGCGATGGAGTCACTCCGCCTTGGCCCGCTGGCGGTGCACGACGACGTCAGCGAGGAGATTTGTACCGTGCCGCTTTCACTGGCGGATCGAGGTCACACAGCTGGCTCCACATTTTCCCCATCACACTGCGGAATCCCACGCAACGTGACAGCGGACGCTGATGCCGTCATGGCACGATCTCTTTCGCAAAACTGCATCAATGCCTGGCATGTGGACTTCCTTACCGCCGTCAAGAGGTTATACTGGAAGGATGCCCAGGAGGAAAAGGAAGCCGCGCACACCGCGTGACATGCGCCTGTCGGTGTGGCAAGGACTCTATTCCTGGTGTTGACCCGGACATCGGTCCCCGAGTGGCGGCACTGCGCACAGGCGCGATGCGGCTCCTGCCCACTCTTCGACAGGCCTGCACACGCCCTGCAGATCACAAGGAACCCTCTGTGTCGGTGGTGCCGTCCCTCCCTCACTGCGGTGACCGGCCCGCCTCTGCCTCCGCCGGAACCTCTTCCCGACGTGAGCACCGCAACTCCTTGTCGACCAGCGAGCGGCGGATTGACGTCCTCCTGCCCAACCTGCGGCAGAGTGCACTTGTCCGTCCACAGTATGAGGGCACATGCCCGACGTGCTCAGCCTGGCGTTCCGATAGTTTGAGAGGGCCTCCCATACGGATGCCACAATGGCGCCACCGTCTTCCTAACAGGTGCCTTGCGCGCAGGTCGCCACCGAAGTTGCCAAGCATGCCAGCAGGCAAGACACGCAGGAAGCACAAACGCGGGAGCTCGAGATGGACCAGGCTCTTCCGCCACCGCCTCATCACAGACGCCACGGGCCGCTGATCCCCCGACGGACCACGGGAGACTCTGCCTCATCCACTGCGGGAATGCCCTCGTCGTTGGGAACTGGGACTGCGACTGTGTGGGACTGCCCCAGCCCGCACAACGGCCCGTTTGCGACGGAATACTTACCACTTCTGTACGGACGGCCCTTGCGCTACTCACTCGTTATTGTAGCAGCATACAACCAAAACAAGATAATAAGCTGTTTTTGTGGTGGATATTGGCTGCACTTCCCGTGGACCAACAATCCACGTGGTGTGCGGGGATCTCCTTTTTTATTGTTACTATGCTTTTGTGTTGCTGTGTGCGCTGCACCTTCTTGTGTGTGTGTGCGCACCCTCCGTGAGGGGTGCCGACACGACGGACCGCTCTCGCCGTATGTGCATGCGGTGGAGCCTTGTGTGCCGCTCCTGTTTGCTTCTCCCTCCTCCATCTGTGTGTTGTTGTTGCGGCAGGGCTGTGTGTGTGTGTGTGTGTGCCTGCTGCCGTGGATTGGAGTGTGTGTCGTGCGTGGTGTGCGGCGTACGGTGCATGCCTGGCTGCTGCCCTCTCCTCATGTGGTGTGCCCTCTGTGTGTGTCTGCTGCACCTCTCGTCTCCCCTGTTGCTTTCCATGTCCCTCACTGTGCAGATCAGCTCCACACCACTGAAAGACCACACTCACGATGATGATGACGTGCCGTCTGCTGTGCGCCCTGTTGTTGCTTGCCCTGTGCTGCTGCCCGTCCGTGTGCGCGTCAGAGATAGCCATTGATGGTGAAACTGATGGAGACCGCGCCAGTCCATCTCTCACTCAACCAAAGCCAATAACCACTAAACCTGAATCTTCTGTCCTGACGACCATGACAACAGCGGCACAAGACGTTCAGAGGAACCTGGGTGGACCTGAAGGTAATAAAAACGCCACCAGTAAACCTTCCCTTCCACTAGAGGGAGGACACGGGAACAGTCGTTCAGTGTCGCCAGGTTTGGGTTCCGTTGCGGAACCGGTAAAGCTTGACAGAGATGAAACACGTTTGCCTGCTTTGGAACCGCAACCACATGACGCAAAAAATACAGTACAGGCAGAAGGTACGAAAGAGCAACAAAGTGGCACTGAACCATCCGCAGAACAAACCAATAAGGTGTCTGAAACTTCTGCTCAGACAACCACTACGACCACCACAACAAAGGCACCAACCACGACGACCACCACTGCGCCAGAGGCACCAAGTACTACGACTACAGAGGCGCCAACTACGACGACGACCACCCGCGCACCGCCACGTCTTCGCGAAATCGACGGCAGCCTCAGCAGCTCTGCGTGGGTGTGTGCCCCGCTGCTGCTCGCCGCATCCGCGCTGGCGTACACCACTGTGGGCTGAAGAGGTGTGTGCGGGCTGTGCGTGCCAGCACCCAACCGCGGGGATTTGTGCGCGTGTTGTGGTTCACTGTACCAAAATAAGAGAAAATAATGATTGTGTTTTGCTTCACTTGCTTCCGCTGCCGTGCTGTGTGCTCCGCATTGTGCCCCGCATCCGTCACGTTGAACGCATCGCGGACACACTCATGTGCATGCGCACTGGAGCCCTGGGTTTGTTTTTCTTTTCTTTTTAATTTCTGTTTTTTAATTATTGTTTTTTATTGCTTTTTAAACTTGTGGTTTGCGGGGCGGTGTGCGAGCTCTGCAATCGTACTGATTCCATCTGTCTCGTGGTGTGTGCGCTGCTGCTGCTGCTGCTGCTGGGGTGCTGCCATTTGTTGCTGTGCGGTGGCTGTGCGTGGTGTAGCGGCTGTGTCTCCTTTTGTTTTCTCGTGCTATCGCAGGTTGGCTCCGCAGCGTTAGGCGACTCCACTGTTTGTGATGATGACTGGCCGTGTGCTCTGCGTCCTGTTGGCTCCTGCAGTGATGCGCAGCTGCTCGTGCGTGTGAGTGACGGCTGCTGCGACGGGGTGCGTGTGCGGCCGCGGGTGATGGCGCGGTGGCTGCTGGGCACGCGGAAGCTGTGATGGCTGCGGAAGGTGGACCCGTGGCCGGTGGCTCTGGACGAAAGGGGAATGTGAACTCTGAGGACAATAGCAATCAGGAAGACGAGGAGGGTGGAGGAAGCACCGCGGGTGAGGGCCACAATCCCACCTCGGCAGGACCACTCACTGCTCCGACGAGGCAGGACCAATCCAGCAGCGACCCACTGCGAAGTGGCACTTGCAATCCGTCCGGCACTGGCAGTGCTTCTGCTGCTCGGATGCGTGCAAGTGGACCGGACTCTTTGGGCGGAGGGCACGCTGCAGGCACAGCATCCCCACGCTCCGACGCATCTCAGCAGGCAGCAGGTGGAGTGCGTGCTGGTGGCGGGAGGACCTCCCAGGGCAGTCAGGCTTCGGAACAAACCGTCACGGGACAGTCACAGGTGCCAGGGACGGCGAAGGAGGCACAGCAGGGCGATGAAGGAGGAGAACCCGGAGCGCAACACGAAGCCGACCAAACCACAAAAATGACTGTGGTGAATTGTTGCGCAAAAACAGCGGTGGAACAGGAGAGCCGCCAGCGGGATCGCAAGATGCACCACGTCTCTATAGTGGCGAGAATGCTCATTATTATTATTTTTCCCTGCTCTTACCGACATGTCTAGCCACACGATGTCACCAGGGTGCCGAGGAGGTGGTCGAGCAGCGACATGAGTTTCCTGCTATGAGGCAGCTGCCATTGGGAGAACCTTTTGGTGCAAAGGTCCTTCTTAATGCCCAGCCGTTGGCGCACAGCCAGAGCGTCTGTACATTCTGGAAGCAGATGGTGCAGTGTTTTCTGCGGGCTAATTGTTGCGCTTGTGGAGGTTGGCTGATCCTGCGGTAGCAGTGATTGTCTCCTGGCACTGCTGCTGCGGTGCCGATCAGCGTCTGGGTTTTGTGCGCAGCGATTTCTCTGCGGTGCTTTTTTTGTGTGGGGAAGACCGTGTCGCAGCAATCGCGGTGGAGGTCGGGAAGCGGTGGAGGGCGTTCCGGATGAAGGCACCGATAGTGGCTGATGTGGTTCGTGTGTCCCACCAGTGTGGCGTCACAGTGCGGGCATTTCTTCTTCCGACGCTGTGTGGAGGGCCGTCTCTCCACAGGCGGTGCGTCGGCCTCCCTTGTCGTCGGGGGAACAGCTTCCGTCCCGGTGCAGTGGGATCATTGTTGGAGCGCATGAGAGCGGACTGTTCCGGTGAGATGTTGCAGAAACGGCGTTGGTTCGTGCAGTCTCTCACAGTCCAGTACAGGCGATCCCATAGCTCGGATTCCCCGCACCCTGCTCATGCAGTGTTTATCCGTTCCTGTCTGTCAAGGGCTTCCTGAGTAATCAGGTGCTTGCCGCCTGGATCTGATGGCCTGGCGCCGCCAAGCAGGTATTGGTGGGTGTCCTGATGCATGGTGCTACGCCACTTGTTGGTGAGCTGGGTGTTAATGCATGTCAGCAGTTCCGTGTGCCATATGGGTGCTATTCCATGTTTTCTGTATTGCCCGGTTGCCGTGGTCTGCGTCTAATGATCTGCAGGCTCGTTAAAATGTACTCCGCGATGTTCGTAGCAAAACTGCAGGTGCACTGACCAGCCGGCACACGTCAGCGACAAGAGACGCTGCCAGAGCCGATCCTCCATCCAGTCGGTATGACTGTGCGGGCCCTTGGTGACGGCGGCTAGAAGGGAATGACTGTCTGTAACCACAAGCAGGGTTTTTGCCTGTGCTGGATACGATGGACACTCAGCCTTTCCATGGCCGGGAGCAGTGCACGGGATTCCGTCGTGCGGCTGCATGGGCGTGTACCGCAGTTGGTACTGACCTTTTCTATTATCTTCGAGGAATGCAGGGATGAGAGCAGTATGCCAATCCCGGCTGACTTGGGGACGTCGACACCGCCATCCGTTGCTAGTATCCACGGTCCCCAGCGATGATGTTGCACCTTGTCGCGGTGCTGAGGCTTTGGTTGCGTATAGGAACTCCGCAGCAGGGCGTTGCCGCGAGCACGACGGAAACCAAGACGACTTCACCCCTCGAGAAGGTACCACGCCATGCCCGGTGCAGGGGGGTGAAGCGGTCTGCCTGCAGACTGTCGGACAGAACTGCACGACCGTTTCGCTGCGATCGCTCCGTTGATATCACCCGTGGCGGTGACGTCCACAAGAACCCTGGCCCGAGGAGGATGGCTTCATCAATATTAGGCAGCTTAACATTGCAGGCCTCTCGTCCGTGAAAAAGATTGCATTTGCTGCGCGATTGGAGCAGCGTCCACCTGACATCGTTCTTCTGCAGGAAATAAGTAACCGTGGTGACGTTGCGACGAAATTATCTGGCCATAATGACCACCTTCAGGCCCGCACTGGGCGCGGTGGTGGCGTTGCCGTTCTGGTGCGCCACTCTCCACCGTGCGAGCGCCTGTCGCTCCCTGGCACTGACCTCCTGGAGACCATTGCTGCCCGTGTATTTCCACCGGGCCGTCCCAGCATTTGCGTGGCGAATCTCTACAACCCTCCCACAACAATTGGTCAATAATCCGCATTTATCAATATCGTTTGTCGCTTGGGCCCGAAGCGATTATCGCGGGTGACCTGAATTTACATCGTGAACTCTGGTACAGTCATATATACCATCAACGACTGGAGGCGATAATTTCGCCGCTGTTCTAATCGATATGGATTTTGGGCTGGCAAATGACCCGGCGCAGGCAACACGAATCACACATCGTAATGCCTCGTCCCCTGACGTGACTGCGTATTGCGCCCTACGCATCTCCCACTGGACATTCGCCCTTTACATAGACTCGGACCACTGCTGAATATCTTACTTGGTAGAGATGGATGATGGCACTCCACGACTAGCAAACACGCTGCCTTGACGGAAGGAAGCCACCTTTGCCCTGCGTAAAGCGGGTTGGCCTGCTTTTACATCGTTGTGTGAAACCCTCCTTGCCACCGCGTCCACATGGTTGGATCTTCGCGGAGGCATCTTACGAGCAGCTGAGCGCCATATCCCGCGCGGCGGCCGTGGAAGCCCCAAAAAAGATATGGACACACGAAATGGAACAAGCCGAGTCCGCCGCCGAAGCAGCACACGAAGCACACACATTGCCTCACCCGGAGACAGCATACTTTGAGCCGAATGTACCCGAAAAAAGGAGGAACGAAATCAAGCCTTACGCCGTTGCTCCGCTGTGCTTCTGGAAGCCCGCGCGAAAGGACTTGGAGCCTCACCCAGCCCGAGGTGGCGATATCTTCACGGCATGGCGGCGCCGCACCCTCATCCTCTGGAATCGGTTGTGCTCCGCACTGATCTTGGCCGCGTATGCGCCCTGCCTCGGCAACAGGCAAATCTGCTTGTCCGTCATTTTGTGCGGTTTCACGTGCCATACCGCCTTATACTGCTGCTGCTGCTCGCTGCACTCCTTTGGTTCCTGGTGGCTGAGAAATGGATCGGCCTTTCCCGCCGTATGAAATTGACGTGGCCATCCGTGACTCTTTGCTTGGCTCAGCCCCTGGCTCCGACAACATGTTGAATGAATTTCTTCACCGTCTCGGGCCCGTCGCGTGTGGCACACTTAGAACGATGATCCACAACTCCTTCGCAAACGGCAGCCTGCCTGGCTCCTGGAAAATGGGAGACGCTATTCCTATCCCCAAGCCTGGGAAGGATCCATGCCGCCCAGAGAGTCACAGACCTATCACGCCACTCTCTGTTTTACCAAAGTTAACCGAAGGAATGATTCACCGCCGTCTGTCAGCGTTATTGCCGCACCACCCACGTCAATTTTGGATTTACACCTCCGCGTTCTATCTCGGACGTGGTGGCACTTGTTATCGATAAATTACTCGTGGATTGAATGAGTTTAGCATTGTGGAGTATGAGCGCCCTGGAGACGACGCCCCCACACGACACGCTCGTCGCCATCGCTCGCTCGTAGTCTTGATTGATTTTTCGACTGCGTTCGACACCACTGACCATGGGAAGTTATTCTGCATGCTTGACAGACTTCCGCGCCTTTGCCCTCGAACCAAACGCTGGCTGCACAACTACCTGCGGGGCCGCTATGTTAGGGTATGCACTCGCGAACAGCACTCCCGGAAACAACTCGCCTCAGCTGGAGTACCGCAAGGCGGCGTCCCGGGACCCCAACTCTTCCTCTACTGTGTGGATAATCTGCTGCGCCGCCTGGACAGCATCTACTCTGCCTCCGCTTTCATGTACGCTGACGAACACACACACTTGTTGCTTCAGATGCGGACATCCATGCCTGTGCTGCGGCAATGCGACCGCTCTTGTCTCTTGTGGCCACATGGGCTGCCGAGTACAGCCTAAAAATCAACGTTGATAAGAGCGAAGCTGCTCTATTCTACATCTTTTCACACACACACGGTCTGACGAGGACATGGTCGATCTCCATCTTGTTAGCGGGAACCTACATATTCAGTCACGCCCAGTGCGCTTACTGGGCAACACGTTCGATCGACTTCTTAATTTTGTTACGCATGCTTCCACCGCTTCAAAGAGGGCCATGCCACGCCGCTATCAGCCGCGACTGGTCGCAGAGGCGGGCGCGTCTCATCACACCATGCGATCCTTTTTGATTGGGTATGTTCATAGTGTGCTATTTCATAATGGCGAGGCAATTGTCCCGTGACTCGCCCCCACTCACCTCCATAATATGGAAGTACGGTACCGCGACGGTAGCAAAACATTCTTTGCCTGAGCGCATCTACAGAAGACACATCTGTCTATTTGGAAGCCAATATTCTTCCGCTCCGTAAGATGCTCTGGCGTCGTGCACTCACACAATACGAACGCTATATACGCTTCCATGATCACGAGGATTTGCGTTCCCTTATCTACTCGGAACCTATGCCACCGTCCATGCATGGGAAGGCAGCGACATCAATCCGCTTCCGAGAGATGCTGTTATTAATGGATTGCTACGCGTCTGTGACATTATTGGGAAACTCCACAACCACATTTGCGCGCCTCTTGCCCAACATCGAATTTTTCCCTGAGACACTGCGAACTGCAACAAAGTGAGATTTTATCAGCCACTGTTTGCCAAAGACGCCTCTGACGATGTCAGGCGCACGGCTTTTGATTCTGCTCACTCCTCTTTGTGGGATTGTGATTTTGAATTGTGGACGGACGGTTCTTCATATCTCGCTGCACTCGCATCTGGATCCGCTGCGCTATTATATGACTCCACCACGACAAATGATCTCCCTGTGGAGGTACATTGTGCAGCAGCTGGCAGCCTCGCATGCTCATGTAGGGCAGACTGCCTTGCGATCGAAAATGTTTTTAGACATCTCATACCTCCTTGTCTGGGAACATCCCAATCGCCCACACGAATGCTGGAGGAAACGGACTCCCTGTCGGCAATTGAGGCACCCCGCGTTGCCCACCGACCGTGCGAGACGACGTCAGCGAGGAGATTTGTACCGTGCCGCTTTCCTTGGTGAAGCGAGGTCACCCTGTGGATTTTATATTTTCCCATCACACTGCGGTATTCCACGCAATGAGGCCGCTGAGGACGAAGTCACGATTGCACGATCCCTCTCGCAGGACTGCGTCACTGCCTGGCACGTGGAATTCCTTACCGCCGTCAAGAGGTTATAATGGAAGGATGTGCAGGAGGAAAAGGGAGCCGCGCACACCGCGTGACAGGCGGCTGTCGGTGTGGCGAGGACTCTATTCCTGGTGTTGACCCGGACATCGGTCCCCGAGTGGCGGCACTGCGCACAGGCGCGATGCGGCTCCTGCCCACTCTTCGACAGGCCCGCACGCGCCCTGCGGACCACAAGGAATCCTCTGTGTCGGTGGTGCCGTCCCTCCCTCACTGCGGTGACCGGCCCGCCTCTGCCTCCGCCGGAACCTCTTCCCGACGTGAGCACCGCAACTCCTTGCCTGCCAGCGAGCGGCGGATTGACGTCCTCCTGCCCAACCTGCGGCAGAGTGCACTTGTCCGTCCACAGTATGAGGGCACATGCCGGACGTGCTCAGTCTGGCGTTATAATAGTAGGAGAGGGCCTCCCATGCGGATGCCACAATGGCGCCACCGTCTTCTTAACAGGTGCCTCACGCGCAGGTCGCCACCGAAGTTGCCAAGCATGCCAGCAGGCAAGACACGCAGGAAGCACAAACGCGGGTACTCGAGATGGACCAGGCTCTTCCGCCACCGCCTCATCACAGACGCCACGGGCTGCTGATCCCCGACGGACCACGGGAGACTCCGCCTCATCCACTGCGGGAATGCCCTCGTCGTTGGGAACTGGGACTGCGACTGTGTGGGACTGCCCCAGCCCGCACGACGGTCCGTTTGCGACGGAATACTTGCCACCTTTGTACGGACGGCCCTTGCGCTACTCACTCGTTGTTGTAGCAGCATACAACCAAAACAACATAGCAAGCTGCTTTGTGATGAATATTGGCTGCACTTCCCGTGGACCAACAATCCGCGTGGTGTGCGAGGATCTCCTTTTTTGTATTGTTACTTTACTTTTGTGTTGCTGTGTGCGCTGCACCTTCTTGTGTGTGTGCGCACCCTCCGTGAGGGGTGCCGACACGACGGACCGCTCTCGCCGTATGTACATGCGGTGGAGCCTTGTGTGCCGCTCCTGTTTGCTTCTCCCTCTTCCATCTGTGTGTTGTTGTTGCGGCAGGGCTGTGTGTGTGTGTGTGCCTGCTGCCGTGGATTGGAGTGTGTGTCGTGCGTGGTGTGCGGCGTACGGTGCATGCCTGGCTGCTGCCCTCTCCTCATGTGGTGTGTCCTCTGTGTGTGTCTGCCGCACCTCTCGTCTCCCCTGTTGCTCTCCATGTCCCTCACTGTGCAGATCAGCTCCACACCACTGAACGACCACACCCACGATGATGACGACGTGCCGTCTGCTGTGCGCCCTGTTGGTGCTTGCCCTGTGCTGCTGCCCGTCCGTGTGCGTGGCAGACACTGATCTTGCTGAATCTAATGGAATTGTCACCAGTCGAGCGATTGGTACACCGGAATTAACTCTTCAGGGGTCCAGTCCTCCAGAGTTGCCCTCAACAGAAACCAGGCCGGCTGCGAAATTGGGAGAAGATGACGGAGCGGGACAGAGTGCGACCGGTACTTTACAGGCAGCTGATAACGATGGTACGACAGGGTCACAAGGTAGCGCGGGACAACCCGCGGATCAAGCAAATGGGAATGCCGAAGGTGGTGTTGACACGACCACTACGACCATCACAACACATGCAGCAGATGATGAAGAGAAGGCTACGCCTGATGCTGAAGCTCATAAAAAAGTTACTAGTTCATTGCTCCCTGCACCAGAGAACAGTCGGCCTGAGGCTGCTGAAGAGTCAGCCACTGAGCCGGCCCCGGGAAACATTTTGCCAGAGACGCCACGTTTAACCGTTCCGGGACCAAAAGTAAACACCGAGTACAATACGGTACAGAAAACGGGTACGAACGGTACTGCAGGACAAGAAAGTGGCACGAGTACATCCACAGAACAAGCAAATAAGGAAACCGAAGATGCGGCACCGAAAACAACGACAAAAACTAAGACGAAGGCAACAACCACCACGACCACGACCACAACAAAGGCACCAACAACGACCACCACCACTGCGCCAGAGGCACCAAGTACTACGACTACAGAGGCGCCAGCTGTGTCGACCACCCGCGCACCGTCACGTCTTCGCGAAATCGACGGCAGCCTCAGTAGCTCTGCGTGGGTGTGTGCCCCGCTGGTGCTCGCCGCATCCGCGCTGGCGTACACCACTCTGGGCTGAAGAGGTGTGTGCGGACTGTGCGTGCCAGCACTCAACCGCGGGGATTTGTGCGCGTGTGTTGTGGCTCACTGTATAAAATAAGAGGAAATAATGATTGTGTTTTGCTTCACTTGCTTCCGCTGCCGTGCTGTGTGCTCCGCGTTGTGCCCCGCATCCGTCACGTTGAACGCATCGCGGACACACTCATATGCATGCGCACTGGAGCCCTGGGTTTGTTTTTCTTTTCTTTTTAATTTTGTTTTTTAATTATTGTTTTTTATTGCTTTTTAAAATTGTGGTTTGCGGGGCGGTGTGCGAGCTCTGCAATCGTACTGATTCCATCTGTCTCGTGGTGTGTGCGCTGCTGCTGCTGGGGTGCTGCCATTTGTTGCTGTGCGGTGGCTGTGCGTGGTGTAGCGGCTGTGTCTATCTTTTTGCTTCCCTTTCTGTTGACGGGGAGTTAGTTTGTGCTGAAGGCTACACGCAAGTGACAGGAGTGATGGCGATGATGACTGGCCGTGTGCTGCTGGTGTGTGCCCTCTGCGTGCTGTGGTGCGTGTTTTCTTCGGTGTCGGCCGATGCCGGGGATGATTGTGGGGATTCCGGCCAAGGTGTTGTTGGGACTGTTGGTCAACCTTCTTCCCCAGTTGGGGGTCATGGTGATAATGGAGTTGTCACTGATGGAAGCTCTCTGAGCAGTGGAAGTCACTTGCCGGGTTCTGCTCCTACGGGTGGCAAACCCCCACTTCCCGGTGTTGGTGTGGGTGTGGGTTTAAATGAATCTAAGGATGCCTTAACTCTTGCACAAGAGGGGCGTGAAGTCGTACAGGATCAGCATGAATTAGTGCCTCAAGTTTCGCATCACACTGATGCGGGAACAGGAGGGAAAGGCGATCTCAATGCGCCAGAACAGTCGCCCAACGCAAAAACAGAATTAGAAGATGGTGGTGGTGTTTGTGGTGATGATGCTGCAGCTGCGGAGGGTGAAGTAAAAACCACCGTGAATGAAGGACAATTGGGCGGATCTTCCACGAGCGACAGCCATCCACCAGCAGCAGACCGAGGGTCGAGGGAGCAGGAAGGCAGAGTGGAACAAGCAGCATCAACAGCGGCATTGACGCCAGTGGTGGGGCGAGAAACACCACCTAAGGGGGACACAAACGAGGACTCACCGGGGGATAAAGCCGCAACTGGCGCAGGTATCACACAGGATATACCAGCTGTCAGTCAGCAACAAACACATTCTTCATCCACCTCCACAACTGGAAATGGTCTGACTTCCACTCTAGGAAAGGGGCGCGCTGCGGAGGACATTTCCAGCAATAACGAACGATCCGGTAAAGCACTACTGCAAGAAGGAGCGGAACATGAAACTGTTGCTGGCAGCCAATCGCAAACAATACCGGCAGCCACCGCCCGTAACACACTTGGCACAACCGTTTCTGGCGACAGCGACAACAGCACCACGATAACTACAGCCGTGCGGTCTGACACTGGCACAGAAGGCACTCCAACCAGCAATCATCCGAACCGACAATCCATTGAAGGCGCCACATCACCCGGCATGAATTCCGATGGTGAAGCTGAGTCAGCCAAAAAATATGATACGGTATCTCAGAGTGCAGGATCCTCAACAGCGCCAACCACAAACAACAAAACACGTGACACAGCTTCTCATGGCAACAGTGACAGCACTGTGGTCTCCCACACCACCTCCCCTCTTTTGCTTCTTCTTCTTGTTGCGTGTGCGGCTGCTGCGGTGGTGGCCGCGTGAGAGTGAGTGAGAGAGAGCCATGCACCGCCCGCACACACACTCGTCCTTCACTCACTCTCTGTGTGTGTCCCCTTGCATGGACTCTCGCCCTCACCTCATCCCACGAAGCACACACATAATGTGCCCATTGTATATATTGCATGCACACCCATGCAGGCCCGTTGGTGCCCTCTTTTGCACGACACGCACCGCTGCCGTCCTGCCTGGCTGCATGGGCGGAGCACCGTAACTGTTTCTGTTTTGTTTTTATTGCATTGAGTGGGCGACCTCTCTCTCTCTCTCTCCCTGTGTGTGTGTTTTGCTTTACGGGAGCAATGAGAGTGTGTGCGCTGGTCCTCTCACGCTTTGGCTTTTCGTTGTGTTTTGTTCTGTTTTTCTTCTTTGAGTCTCTGCTTGTGTTGTGGGTGCACGCACCGATTGCACTTTTATTGATTTGTGGCTTGCTTTGTGGACGCCTGATTTTTTTTTTTGCATTCTTATACGGTTTCTCTCTTGTTGTTAGTGTGTGAGCCCCTTGTGTCTTTGGCAAGCCACCAATTGCTCTCTTCCACATACACCTTGCGTCAGTGGGTCCACGTCACTCCGCGGCCTGCAGCGCTTCTTGTGCTGCTGTTGATGTTGCCTGCGTTGTGATTTGCCGGCGGTTGCCTCGTTGTCATCCTGACGTATCCCTGTTTTCTTGTCGATGTGGTGCCTGCCGACAACGCGCGGCAACTCCGGTTGTGGTGAGGGTCGTGCGTCTCAAAGCGCAGGATGCGTTGCAGGTGTGCAGCCTCGCTTGTAAGCACCGATGGGTGTCTGTCCCCGTGAAGACGTCATCAACGGCCCCGGATGACACCAGGAGGCACTGCGACATTTTTTATTGTTCCACAGCGACTTTATTGGACGGTACTTTTGCTTTGCAGCTCTTGGGGCCTTTGTGGGAGAAGGTGGGAGGCTGAGGGCATTAGGACTGAATTCATTTGAGCGGCTGCGTTCCGTTGACTTGCGGCCAGTCGTGGCACTCTTTTGTGGTTTGGCCGCTCGTCTCTTTTTTTTACTTCCCGTCGCAGCACGTGGAGACCACTGATCCGAGGAACATTTGTTTGACCGAGTGTGAGCCGCTGCCGTGCGTGGTGCATGGAGTGACGAATACTTCTGTTTGGCGTGTCGCGGTGCGTCGGAATGGTGTTTGGATGACATGTGAAGGGTGCTGTTTGTGATTTGTGTGTTTTCTCTGGTGGAGCCGACATGTGTGCGGGGATTGTGGCATTGCTGGCTGACAGCTCCACGTCACTTTTCAGCATTCCTGGATGTGCTGAGGAATGACGGCTGGCGACCAGCGTGTTGTTGCTGCTGGTGGGAATAAGTGCATGAGGAATAGGCCATTTTCTCTTTTCCGTGCTGGAGCCGACGAACTGGCACGAGGGCACCGGCTGCAGGCTGCTTGCCAGCACGTGTGAGCAGCGGATCCATGCACACACAGACGCTCATCGCAATGGCTTGTGCGATCGCAGTGGCTTTTGTGGCGTGCTTTTATGGACGTCAGCCCATCGAAGAATGTGTGAAGCAAACGGCTGACGGAACACGAGGAAAATAAGTGCGTGCACTGTGCCGTGTTTCAGCGTCGATGGCAGAGCGGCAGGAAGCCCGTGCTGGCAACTGAGATCTTTGCGTCGCGAGGGATGTCGGTGTTGATTTTGGGTCGTCGAGGGAGAAATGATTTTGCTGCTGCCCGTGTGTGTGTGGCCACTCCGGCAGAGGGCGGACACAACAGGGAGGGATGCAGGCGCTGCGTGTGTGTGTGCAGGTGCCATGCAACAACGTCACAACAAACATGCTGCGACTCGGTGACCCTCACATCGTTGTGGTCCTCACGAGCGGCCCAGGCACGGCCCGCATCGATGCACTTAGTGGACGGAGTGAGGCATCTTTTGAGGCGCTGCAGGGAACAGAATGTGTTGACGCAGCCACGACGTGCATGGAGTGTCACGAGGGCACAGTGAGCTGTGGCTGGTGGAATATTTACTTCTCGGAGGCAACAGAGAGAGGGAGAGCTGCTCCTGCTGCTGGTGTCGTTGCTGCCTCTTGTGGCCTCCCATGCCGATTATTGTCTGTCCGCTGATCATGGGTGGTGTGCCTCCACTAGTGACGTCGTCTGCAGGCATTTCACAGCACCAGTGAAACACACATCACGTCGCATGCTTTGGCTGTGGATATGGTGTCGTGCATGCAGCCGGCATTATTTTGCCCGACTCCTTTTCACTGCTTTGCGACGAATAGATGCGTCACCGCCCGAGTCATTCACTGCAGCTCCGTGTGCTGTGCTGCCAGCACAAGACTCTCTTGTTGTCTGGCGCCTGGCTGACAGTCAAACACCACTGCGTTGGGACATGCAAGGATGTGGACTGCCGCTCACGGTGTTGGGCACCGCTGTTTGGATGCGGCGGCCACACGAGCGGATGTATTGTGGCACAATCAAATGCGTGAAATACGCGGAGTCACAGCGGCTGCAATAATATTGACGGTGTGGCACCACGGAATGTGTGAGGGGGTGATGCATGATGAATCACAGCGGGCGACATGCGAGGGAAGTGCACCGCGACGGAGCGTCATCCCGCCCTCAGCCTGCAGGGGAATGTACACCCACAAAATATATGGACGAGACACCACCAAACAGTCATGCCCTTCCATGCACCAATAAATAGGAGCGAAGATGCGTTCTGGTGCGTGGGAGTCCACTCACATATTTTCATTTCCACCGCAATAAACGGTGAGGAATCAGGTGCCACAGCAACGAAAAGAAGAAATAAAAACGTCTATTGCAGCACCTTACCAGCGAAAAGCAGGAACAACACAAACCGAATTATTGGCTGCACCAACACAAGAAAAAAATGCACAAGAAGGAAAAAAAGAAATTGTGTACCCTGCAGTAATCCCAACACACGATCCAGGCATGAAGATTTATCCTCTGGAAAAACAAAACAAAGCGAACAAAACAACATGTGCGGACATTTGCCAACATCCAAAGAGAAACACAAATAAATGGTTGCTTGCATTATTACATTCCTTGCGCTTATTTTTGAGTGTGCGTCTGCTGCTGCGGTGGTGGCCGGGCCTGCATGAATTTGAGTACGCCGGATGTGGACGAAGGCCTACTGCAACAGAACAAGTTGCTTTGTGATGAATATTGGCTGCACTTCCCGTGGACCAACAATCCGCGTGGTGTGCGGGGATCTCTTTTTTATTATGGTTACTTTGCTTTTTTGTTGCTGTGTGCGCTGCGCCTTCTTGTGTGTGTGCGTACCCTCCGTGAGGGGTGCAGACACGACGGACCGCTCTCGCCGCATGCACATGCGGTGGAGCCTTGTGTGCCGCTCCTGTTTGCTTCTCCCTCTTCCATCTGTGTGTTGGTGTTGCGGCAGGGCTGTGTGTGTGTGTGTGCCTGCTGCCGTGGATTGGAGTGTGTGTCGTGCGTGGTGTGCGGCGTACGGTGCATGCCTGGCTGCTGCCCTCTCCTCATGTGGTGTGCTCTCTGTGTGTGTCTGCCGCATCTCTCGTCTCCCCTGTTGCTCTCCATGTCCCTCACTGTGCAGATCAGCTCCACACCACTGAACGACCACACTCACGATGATGATGACGTGCCGTCTGCTGTGCGCCCTGTTGGTGCTTGCCCTGTGCTGCTGCCCATCCGTGTGCGCGTCAGAGGATGAGCCTGAAGCTGCCGTTTCCTCCCCGACGACCACGGAGAACACAACTCCGGCATCACCCTCGACACCTGCTCAGAAAGGTAATGTGTCGGGCGCGGAACGTGGAAATACTGCAGGAACGGGAGGTGGTACGACCGATCCGGAACAGCAATCAAGTGATACTCCCAATAAGGTACAAGAAGGAAGTGCTGAAGGTACGAAGGAGCAACAAATTCGCAATGAACCATCCACAGAACAAGCAATTAAGAATGTCGATGATTCTGCCGAGACGACCACGACGACGACCACAACAAAACCACCGACTACGACAACCACGACCAATGCGCCAGAGGCACCAAGTACTACGACTACAGAGGCGCCAGCTGTGTCGACCACCCGCGCACCGTCACGTCTTCGCGAAATCGACGGCAGCCTCAGTAGCTCTGCGTGGGTGTGTGCCCCGCTGGTGCTCGCCGCATCCGCGCTGGCGTACACCACTCTGGGCTGAAGAGGTGTGTGCGGACTGTGCGTGCCAGCACCCAACCGCGGGGATTTGTGCGCGTGTGTTGTGGTTCACTGTATAAAATAAGAGAAAATAATGATTGTGTTTTGCTTCACTTGCTTCTGCTGCCGTGCTGTGTGCTCCGCGTTGTGCCCCGCATCCGTCACGTTGAACGCATCGCGGACGCACTCATAAGCATGCGCACTGGAGCCCTGGGTTTGTTTTTCTTTTTTTAATTTCTGTTTTTTAATTATTGTTTTTTATTGCTTTTTAAACTTGTGGTTTGCGGGGCGGTGTGCGAGCTCTGCAATCGTACTGATTCCATCTGTCTCGTGGTGTGTGCGCTGCTGCTGCTGGGGTGCTGCCATTTGTTGCTGTGCGTGGTGTAGCGGCCGTGTTTATCTTTTTGCTTCCCTTTCTGTTGACGGGGAGTTAGTTTGTGCTGAAGGCTGCATGCAAGTGACAGGAGTGATGGCGATGATGGCTGGCCGTGTGCTGCTGGTGTGTGCCCTCTGCGTGCTGTGGTGCGGTGCCGGCGGTAGATGTGACGAGGAGGGGACAGCAGCTCGTGGGAGTGGTGGTGGACCTCCGCTGGCATCAAAACAACCTGAAACGCCTCGAGTAGGCTCCCAAGATGTAAAAAATGGAGTAACCGTTGCTAAAGAAAATGTAATACCCACACCTCCCCTTCCTATAGATGGGGATGCGGAAGTTGATGAAGATGAAGATGATGACGACGATGATAATGATAATGATGCAGATGGTGAAGAAGAAGATAATGAGACGGGTGAGTCAAAAGAAAAAAGTACTGAAGGGCAGATTAATAAAGAAGGAAAAGTTCCACCAGACTCAGATTCCAGGGAAAAGAATTTAATTGGAAGCAGGCAGGAAAAAGGCCAGTCAATTGTACCTGCAGGGGACATTTCTCATTCCAAAAGTCAGGAATCAAATGCCAATTCTACGCAAACGGAAGTTGAAGGAAAGAAGGACGCCGACAAGAGACCACCATCAGCAGAGAACGTACTCACAACAGTTAACGGAGAGAACACACTGCCTGAGGGCATTGCGGGAGGAAATCCTCCATCGCCTCCAGAAGACAGTGTTGCTTCCCGTGAAAAGGATGGCGAAGACACCACGAGTGAAGACGAGAAAAATGTTCCGTCGCCAGAGTCCGCAGCCACACCACAAAGCCACCGAGACGAAGTCTCAGAAGGGACTGGGGAAGATACAAAAGCAACGACAGTAACCACAAATACAACTGATACGACGAATAAACAAAACAGTGACGGCAGCACCGCGGCAGCTACAGTTGTGCAGCCTGAAGATGGAGTGGAAAGTGATCCGGCAAACAATGATTTGAGCCCACCATCCACTGAGGTCGCCGCACAGCTCAGCATGACTCCTGATGCTGAAGGCGCATCAAACAACGAGGAGAATACTGACACTCAGATTGCAGGAAATCCTAATGTAACAATCGCTACCGCCACTCAAACAAATGATACGGCGAAGCCTACCGACAGTGACGGCAGCACCGTGGCCTCCCACACCACCTCCCCTCTTTTGCTTCTTCTTTTTGTTGCGTGTGCGGCTGCTGCTGCGGTGGTGGCCGCGTGAGAGTGAGTGAGAGAGAGCCGTGCACCGCCCGCACACACACTCGTCTTTCACTCACTCTCTGTGTGTGTGTCCCCTTGCATGGACTCTCGCCCTCACCTCATCCCACGAAGCACACACATAATGTGCCCATTGTATATATGCATGCACACCCATGCAGGCCCGTTGGTGCTCTCTTTTGCACGACACGCACCGCTGCCGTCCTGCCTGGCTGCATGGGCGGAGCACCGTAACTGTTTCTGTTTTGTTTCCATTGCCTTGAGTGGGCGACCTCTCTCTCTCTCTTTCTCCCTGTGTGTGTGTTTTGCTTTACGGGAGCAATGAGAGTGTGTGCGCTGGTCGTCCCACGCTTCGGCTTTTTGTTCTGTTTTTATTTATTGTTTTATTGCTTTTCTTGTGCTGTGGCTGAGTGCATTCATTACCCTTTCTTTTGAATTAGTGGCTTGCTTTGACTGCGGACGTTTAAATTGTTTTTTTTTGTATTATTATATTGTTCCTTTCGTGTTGAGAGAGTGTCAGCCTCTTGTATCCTTGTCACACTACCAAGTTTTTTTTCTCGATATACGCCATGCGTCCGTTGTTCCACGTTACTCTGCGGCTTGCATTGCTTTTGGTTCTGCTTGTGATGATGTCTGCGTTGTGATTTGTCGGCGGATGTCTCGTTGTCAGCCTGACGTATCCTTCGTTTCTTGACGATTTGTTGCGTACCGACGGCGCGTGGGCGTCTCTGGTGATGGTGAGGGACGCGTGTCTCAGAGCGCAGGATGCGTCGCGGGTGTGCGGCGTCGTTTGGAAGGACCGATGGGTGACCATCCGCATCCAGGCGTCATCAACGGACTGTGAGGGCAGCATAAGGCACCGCGGCTTCTTTTGGCTTTGCACAAACAATTTATTGGACGGTGCGTTTGTTTTCAATCTTTTGCAGCTTTTGTGGGAGAAGGTGGAGGGTTGAGGGCATTAGGACTGAATTCTTTTGAGCGGCTGCGTTCCGTTGACTTGCGGCCGATCGTTGCACTCTTTTGGGGTCTGGCCGCCCGTCTCTTTTTTTGTTTACTTCCCACCGCAGCACGTGGAGGCCACTGATCCGAAGAACATTTGTTTAGACGGGTGTGAGCTGCTGCCGTGCGTGGTGCATGGACTATTTGATTGTGTGGGGAGGTGCATTGGAGTGACGAATACTTCTGTTTGGCATGTCGCGGTGTGTCGGAATGATGTTCGGAAGACTTGTGAGGGGTGTTGTTTGTATTTTGTGTGTCTTCTCTGGTGGAGCCGACATGTGTGCGGGGATTGTGGCATTGTTGGCTGACGGTCTCACGTCACTTTTCAGCATTCCTGGATGTGCTGAGGAATGACGGCTGGCGACCAGCGTGTTGGCACTGCCGGTGGGAATAAGTGCATGAGGAATAGGCCATTTTCTCTTTTCCGTGCTGGAGCCGATGAACTGGCACGAGGGCACCGGCTGCAGGCTGCTTGCCAGCACGTGTGAGCAGCGGATGCATGCACACACAGACGCTCATCGCAATGGCTTGTGCGATCACAGTGGCCTTTTGTGGCGTGCTTTTATGGACGTCAGCCCATCGAAGAATGTGTGAAGCAAACGGCTGACTGCACACGAGGGAAATAAGTGCGTGCACTGTGCCGTGTTTCAGCGTCGATGGCAGAGCGGCAGGAAGCCCGTGCTGGCAACTGAGATCTTTGCGTCGCGAGGGATGTCGGTGTTGATTTTGGGTCGTCGAGGGAGAAATGATTTTGCTGCTGCCCGTGTGTGTGTGGCCACTCCGGCAGAGGGCGGACACAACAGGGAGGGATGCAGGCGCTGCGTGTGTGTGTGCAGGTGCCATGCAACAACGTCACAACAAACATGCTGCGACTCGGTGACCCTCACATCGTTGTGGTCCTCACGAGCGGCCCAGGCACGGCCCGCATCGATGCACTTAGTGGACGGAGTGAGGCATCTTTTGAGGCGCTGCAGGGAACAGGATGTGTTGACGCAGCCACGACGTGCATGGAGTGTCACGATGGCACAGCCGGCTGTGGCTGGTGGAATATTTACTTCTCGGAGGCAACAGAGAGAGAGAGAGAGAGAGCTGCTGCTGCTCCTGCTGCTGGCGTCGTTGCTGCCTTTTGTGGCCTCCCATGCCGATTATTGTCTGTCCGCTGATCATGGGTGGTGTGCCTCCACTAGTGACGTCGTCTGCAGGCATTTCACAGCACCGGTGAAACGCACATCACGTCGCATGCTTTGGCTGTGGATATGGTGTCGTGCATGCAGCCGGCATTATTTTGCCCGACTCCTTTTCACTGCTTTGCGACGAATAGATGCGTCACCGCCCGAGTCATTCACTGCAGCTCCGTGTGCTGTGCTGCCAGCACAAGACTCTCTTGTTGTCTGGCGCCTGGCTGACAGTCAAACACCACTGCGTTGGGACATGCAAGGATGTGGACTGCCGCTCACGGTGTTGGGCACCGCTGTTTGGATGCGGCGGCCACACGAGCGGATGTATTGTGGCACAATCAAATGCGTGAAATACGCGGAGTCACAGCGGCTGCAATAATATCGACGGTGTGGCACCACGGGGAATGTGTGAGGGGGTGATGCATGATGAATCACAGTGGGCGGCATGCGAGGGAAGTGCACCGCGACGGAGCGTAACCCCGCCCTCAGCCTGCAGGGGAATGTACACCCACAAAATATATGGACGAGACACCACCAAACAGACATGCCCTTCCATGCACCAATAAATAGGAGCGAAGGTGCGTTCTGGTGCGTGGGAGTCCACTCACATATTTTCATTTCCACCGCAATAAACGGTGAGGAATCAGGTGCCACAGCAACGAAGGAGGAAATAAAAACGTCTATTGCAGCACCTTACCAGCGAAAAGCAGGAACAACACAAATTGAATTATTGGCTGCACCAACACAATAAAAATTCACAAGAGAAGAAAACAGTTGTGCACACTGCAGGAACCCCCAACACACGATGCAGGCATGAAGGTTTACCCTCCGCAAAGACAATAACAACATATGCAGGCATCTTCCATCCTCCAAAAAGAAACACGAATAAATGGCTGACTTTATTCCATTCCTTGCGCTTAACTTTGCGTGTGCTGCTGCTGCTGCGGTGGTGGCTGCGCTTCCCGTGAACCAACAATCCACGTGGTGTGCGGGGATCACCTTTTCGTGGTTACTTTGCTTTTGTGTTGCTGTGTGCGCTGCACCTTCTTGTGTGTGTGCGCACCCTCCGTGAGGGGTGCCGACACGACGGACCGCTCTCGCCGTATGTACATGCGGTGGAGCCTTGTGTGCCGCTCCTGTTTGCTTCTCCCTCTTCCATCTGTGTGTTGTTGTTGCGGCAGGGCTGTGTGTGTGTGTGCCTGCTGCCGTGGATTGGA